TCTCCGTTCGAACAAATTCTCATCAGAGGAAAGCCGCGAGAAACCTTACCTCAGACCGCAGACGCAAGCCCCCGACAGAAGGGTCGAACTTTCTCTTTTCTGCTTTACATCTTCGCAACTGAAATCTCTCTCCAAATCCGACTCAATAGCCGGCGCTTGCGAGAGCAAAATACGCAAGGGGTCAAGTCCCACTCTTTTCTCCTCTTCCTCTTAGCTCGAAAATCAGAATCAGAATGAAATATAGCCTGGTGTAAAGTAAACTCTCCTCTCCGCCCCCCGAAAATTTCATTGGCTTACAAAAAATCATAAAATTAAAATCACACCAATGCCAGAATTTTACTTTATCTTTACTGAGAAAATTACAGCCCCACAACGAATCAAAAACAAGAAAATCTGACAATGCAGCCGAACATCTGTTCTCAAGAAAAAGTGGGAACTAAAGTGGACCCCCCAACTAACAAGCAGAAACTAAGCTTTACGAGAATCCAATTACCTAAGCTTACAACAACTCCCACTGTCTGAAGTTAAAAAAAAATTGCAACTATTACAAAGCGAAAGCAAGATGATTTTCATTACAAACGCCATTAGTAAAAGGTGACACTACAACACCCTACTGCCTCCACTGATATTAAAAGGCCATAAACCAATAAACCAGGTGACTTTTGCAACCGTTTCTTGTCTTTGTTACACTACACTTTCAAGAACTATCAGTTAAATAAGGCTTTAACAATACTTTTTTTCCAGATTAAAATACACATGAGTAGAAATAAAAATACCAGAATAATGATAACTTAAAACACATATTAATAATTAAAATTCGCGACATAACAGCTCCTAAGCATTATATCTTAACAGCAACCCAGTTAACAGCGTATGTAGCATTGCAGAATTCATACAATAAGAAATTCCTATGAAGATCACTTATGGATCCAAATGATTTTAAACTTCTATGAAAGATGTCATCTTGGAAAAATTATTTCAATACCACCCTTAGGTTTGAAAGAATACTAGTAATTTTCAGAGACGGCTTAATTGCAGAGTGCAATCCTAAATAAAAATTAATTGTTTCCATCGTAATAATTCGAAACCTAGGGAAAATACGAATACAAAATATGATGCCAACTCGTTCCTAATACTAAAATTTTAATCGTTAATGTATTTCCAGGATAATAATTTAATACAAGTCTCAAATGTATTCATAAGGTGATAAAATGTTTCCACATTCATTTCTGCATTTCTGTTTAGTGTTTAAAGTCGATTCATATTACCGATTGAATTTGTTTATAAATCAACTCTTTTATATTGGTAGTATCTTCTCATTGTTCAATGGCAGAAAAGATACTATTATTTGTAAACAGCGTTTCTATCTGCCTTAATGCTGCCGTCACACTTAATCATGAATTTAATTTTCTCTTAATTCTAATTCTTTCCCTTGGAGTTTTAGTAACGCTTGATAAATTTAATTTAAGCTTTATGGTATCATTAAAATATATTCTTATTTTCCTTCAAATCTTTTATCTTGTAATACATGCAGTAGCTTCTTTATTATCTTATACCGTTTGCCATTAACGGTACAGGTAACAGGATCCGCAGGACATAAAAACGATTGGGTCACAATAAACGCTTACGTTAACCCCCGCCACACCCTGACATTTGCAAAAAGAAAAGGCAACTGATGCAAAGTGGTGGTGTGGTGTATTTAATTATGGCAAAGCACACTAGGGCTATCTGCCTAAGGGGAGGGATGCCTTTCGTGGAGGACTTTCTAAGGGAAACTGGCTCGTATACCCGTTACACATGGGGAAAACCACGAAAACGCCCATGCAGCCAGCCCGTTCGCGGGATTCGAACCTCGGACCGAACTACCAGTGTTCAGCGACTTTACCGCTCGGCCGCTGGTGGGCCCTTGATGCAAAGTGGAATGCATTATCCGTTACCCATATTCTGGTTGCTGAGTATTGACAGAACCTTGGAGATAAAAATGGTCTTTGTCTGTCCACAGAATGTTTCATTGCCATGCAATGTCCACTTCCTTTCTAGCTAAATACTGTTCAGCGAAAGTTTACTGCATTGCCAGGCCAGCATTATGCAACACCTGAATGTGCGCAATTGTGTATGTATAGAATTGAAGGATGTTTCATAAAATTTTACGAACTGTGCTGATAGGCATGTCTACAGATCGGAGAATTCCTCTTGCCCTCCACGTTCACAAATCAGTGTTCGTCTCTTCTTGCAGTGCTCTACCATCATCTTCTACTGAAGTTTAAGCGACTGCTTTCCTACCTCTGCCAAATCCCACGTCAGAGAATCAGTCTTTTTTAATTTACGAATCATCATTTGCAGACTCTTGACCCGGAACTTCTTCACTACTGATGACGCATAGTCAACGTTCTAGCAAAAACCATCACAAGAAGAACCCTGTTCTTAAGAATCAGGATCATCTCTTTGCAACTGGGATTTAACTGTAGAAGTTTTCACTAAATTATCTTAATTTGGTCTTGAGCCCTTCACGAAATAAACGTGATTAAGTGTACAGTTTATCATTGAGAGTCTAGAGAACGTTTGACATCAAGATGCAAAGTCGATTTCGACTAAGTCTAGAGCTGTTGCCGCAATCTAGACAGAGTCATGAGAAGCTTCTTAGATGCAGAATAACGGAAACTGTACGTACACTGTTGTCATGTTATGTCTTTTAACATATTCTAGCGAGAACAGCACCATGAGCACTTGTTACGTTTTTATTCCACATACCATACATATATTTTCCTTAATGAGGTTAAAATATCGCATGTGAGTCTAATATAAAATTTAATTTTAATACAAACAAATTGTTCAAATGATAAATTGAGTATTTTCTCAACAATCGAAATATGTATAGTTTAAAAATGCAAAAATTTAAGACATAATAAATTAATATTTTAATAATCAATAGTGTTTATTTCTTTAGAAACTTCTAATGGTAACTTTAAATTCTGAGCGAAGAGAAAATCTCTATTTTTATATTTCATCTCCTAAATTTTAGGCGTGCACAAAAAAATAATTTCAGGAACAGAGATGTAAGATAGTTTTATCTGAAACGTCTGAAAACAGTAAAAATGAATAAATAAATAAATTAAGTTCAGAATTCTTCAACTTTTAATTCTAGTCATTAATAATTAATCTTCAAGAAAGTACCGTGAATGAGGAACATTGCCACTAAAAGATATATTATAAATCGTCTTTCCTAGCAGTCTCATAAATTCCATTATTCATGAAATAAACCTGCCTCATTGCTCAGGAAGATGCTAGGCTATTTATAAACGGAATTTCTCTCGGGAAGCGAGCTATGCATATGATAGTAAAAAATATTAAATAAAAATAAATTGTTTAAAATATAACAGCAATAAATGAAAGATTTAAATTATTTTTTCAGTTCTTTTATCTGGCATTTTAAAAGTTATCCATGCGAGATCAGTAAATTAAATAGATTACCTATTCTATACATGTATTATTTGATTTATATAATTTAAGGTTTGAACATCGTTCACCGATAAGACTTAATTAGAGTATAATAATTGAAATCTTTCTAGTAAAAGTTTCTTCAAATTTAATAAATTTTTAAACAAAACTTTTAAAAGATATAATTTGGTTTCTAAACAGAAAATGATTTTCAAATAGGTCATAACCTGGTAATTAATGGTAATCCTTGTTTTAAAAGACTATTGCAATATAAATGGAATTTTTTACAGTAAATTACTAAACAAATCACAGGAAATTACTTTAATAGAATGTTTAACTGATCGTTATGAAGTATATACAGATTTCAAAGATGTTTTAATTAACTTAATATGCCCAGCAGGAAATAAGAGACATTCCAAGTAAAACATAAGAATGCGTCACATTAAGTGTTATAATACACATCTTGGGATAAAAATTTGGTTATTTCCTTAATATGTTTAGTTTTTCAACTTTTAATCTTTAAAATTATAATTAAAACTATTCTTCAAAAACATAGTAGTGCTAATGGAGGATTTAAGTTTTTGTTTAATTTAATCATGCAAAAATTTGAGTAATTTATCAAAGAATTGTAAAAATAATCAAACTGTAAACTGCCTTTCTAGAAACTTAATAATAAAACCGATATAAGATAATAAATTATAAAATAAAATAAATAGATATAATAATAAAATAGAATTTGAAAATAAAATAGAAAAAATAAACTCTCAGATACTGGAAGCTGACATACTTAAATTTTAGCAACAAAAATTCTTTTCAATACATAAAAGTTTAAATACTATACCTACAAAAAATTATCTTTGAAGATAAACTTAAAATTCAGTTTACATAAAATATTAACAACTTTTGCGCCAAGTCTAAATAGTAAGTTTTAAAATAGTTTCATCATTATAGAAATCAAATCTATGAACGGTGAAAAATTCAAAATTTCCTATCACCGATACCAGATTTCATCTTATTATTGCTTCAAAGAAGTAATAATTACTCATTCAGTAAATCCTAATATGAAACTTTTAGTATCATATTAGGATATATACGTGAAGTATATATACGTAAAATCAGAGAAAATGCAGTGGTATTGCAAGATAACTAGTCCATCCTGCAAAAAACTACTTTTGGAAAATACACAAGTATTAAAACATTTTGAATGATTTTTCACGACGTCTCTTAACTGCGATTATTCTACTTAAAATCATAAAAAACTATAAATTAGCTAAAGTTTTATTCACTCCCTTCTTCTTTTAAATTTACATTTACTATGTGTGTTTAATTCTTTTCTGTTTACAACGTTTTCATTAAATTCATAAGAAAAGTTAAATTCTATTACCAATATTAATAATGGAAAAATTTTTCCTTATGGGACCTTCATTGTTATTACTTTACATTTTTTTGGTACTTTCTTCAAAAGTATCCAGTAGGAATTTTAGAAGCTTAGCCATCACAAACTGTGGACAGACTAAACAAAACTTAATGAGTGAAAAAAAACATGTAAATGTAATACTTACAGTCGAGTCACCCCTCTCGTAAGATTGGCTTTAAAATCCTTGACCCCCGGTCCTCTGCAAGCGCAAACAATTTCCTCAGGTAGGACTGGATCCTTCTGGCACTTGCAGCCGTGTACAGGATGTCCGGCACCGTAGCCCCGAAGGCCCATCCGGTAGTGGTGGAACCCCATTGAAAAGTTGTTCTTCTCCCCTTCCTTAAACAAAACCTCCGAAGACATCCCATCTACGTCCACCGAAGCCTGAAGCAATAACAAGAAGAGGATTCTCAAGCAAGAAGTGGTGCTCCACATAGTTTGTATGTCAGAAAGTTTTTATTTGAACAGTAGAAAGTTTGTGTTGAGTTTGCGAAGAGGTTGTTCCTGCACGTGTTCTTAGAACGGCTGACAACGATGTGAATGAGGTGGAAGCCGTGGTGGGTTTGTGACCCGGAGAGGAATATCGATTTTCAGAGATTCCATGAATAGGATGGTCAGGAAAGGGGGTAGAGTGAGTTATCGCGTTTGTTCAACAGGTGAAAAGAATTTTATTGCGTAAATGAACATTACTTTTCTTCAAAAGTAAATAAATCTGCAGCTTCTTTCCTAAAAGTTTTGAAAGTAATAAAATTTAAGATTTTCAAAACAAAAATGCGTTGATAGTGTTAAAGTGGTAACTGTACTTCAATAAAATGTTAAAACTTTCTTCAAACATTTAACTCGAATTAAAATTTTTAAATTTTAATAATAAAAATGTTGTAAGCAATTTTTAACTGATAGAAGTACTGGAAAAACATTTCCAACAGAAATAATTCTTTCTGTATCATATAATGTAGTCTCGCCTGATAGAATTAAGAAACCTAAATTCTCCCTCCTGTTTCCGCAACAAAACAAATGTTTTTATACATCACCGATAATGCTAAAAGAAAGAAAGAAAAAATATCCCCATAAAGCAAAAATACGATAAATGTAAGTATATAAAAAATAGTAAAAGAGTCGAATTTTTAAAAGAGTAAAACATGACGAGAAAAAAACTGGGATTTTAATTACATAAATTTACTTCTATAAACACTTATTCAAACCTTTTTATCTAAAATGAGGAAATTGTACATATTTCCATTTTTCGATATTGTCGCAGATCAGTACGAAAGTAAAGTATGAATAAGAAAGCAAATAAGAAATCAGATAACCACCACCCGTAAATAGAGTTGATTTTTGCCTAAGTTAAATTAAGTTCTTATAATATAGCAAAGAAGAAGAGGCCTGTCTTTCGAAAGGAAGAAATTCCTTCGTGGAGGACTTCTTAAGGGAATTCTCTCGTTTTCACGTTTCACATGGTCAAAAAAAACGAAAACCAATCATATAGCCAATCTGTTCCCCAGTCATCGTACCCTTGGTCAAACTACTAGTAATCTGCAGCCTTAATCATTCGATTGCTATTTGGGCTGGGTTTTAGCTGATTTTGTATTTAATAGTTATATATATCTTTTATACATGACGAAACATAAATATTTTTTAAAAAAAATGGTGTAAGGAAAAGGTAAAGTAAAATAGGTTATTAGAACTAAAAGTCAAACTATGCTATTTTAAATTTTTTTTTAGGCTTTGCATTCTTGTCTGTATTTCATTCCTTATACATCTGTAACTAAATTAAAAATTTTTGGGGTAATTAACTGATCATTCTGTTTTTTCATCTTTAACTGGGGACTCAGCTTTCAACATGCTTTTACATTAATGGTAGTTATTTATCTTCTGTTAATTGTGTTTAATTATCCATTTATATACGTATGTCGGAAATAACTTTACACACACACACACACACATATACAGATATAGATAGATAGACAAATGAGTAGCTAGATAGATATTAATTATAACTGAAAGAAAGGTTGCGAGATTGTTATATATATATATATTGCATTTTTTCGTTAGTATAATCGGCACTCAATAATAATTTTATTTTGTGCAAAAACACTATTAATTTATTCGACTTAGTATTTTATAATTTAATTTTTTATTCATGAATTTTAGATATAATGCAAAAATCAAAGCTCCACAATTTTAAAATTGAATTCCTTTCAGATGAAATTACTTTTAAAGGAGAAAAGTATATAACTGTGTACATAACAGGGGTGGACAATCTTTCATGTCAGTAACAGCCGTACGTTTGAATCGAGTAACGTTCGAAAGACGCAAATGGATTTTCCGAAAGCCGCAAGTCCATATTTAACATGATTTTTAAAAGTGGTGAAACATGCTTGAAATGGAAAGAAACGTCGAATTCTAATCAATCATCCAATCACAGTTTGTGACAATGTGCCCAAGACAACGCGAAGTTTCTTTTTATCTAATTGCAGCTTTGTGCGGTAAAAAGTACAATTTTTGAGTATTTAGTTACTTCGATTCTTCCGCTATACCTTTTAGCAAATATAATGTTCGTGAAATTTCGGATTCGTCTTAAATCTGCTCTCCAAAGACTCATATCGTTTTCCTGCTACCTCGAAACTATCCTGCAATTCCCCCGCATGTTCACTCCATGGCAAGCAAACCGAGTATCTGCTGTCCTCAAATTTTTTGATGCTCGAAATTTAACAAAAGTTGACATAGTCTCCGAAGTAGGGATTGCCATTAAGTTTATTAGAAATTCCCAAAGCTTCCAGCTGCCCTAAATTTCTCAACAATTCGGAATTCAAATCTACTTTTAAATTACTTTTAACTTGCATTAAATTTTGTAGAATATTAAATATTTCTAACGCATCTCACGCGCTTTCAGTTCCGCTCACAGATCGACTCAAGAATGTCTCTAACCTAATAACAATTCAGAAATTCTGAAGGCTTTTCCTGTAAAACTTTGACAAGCATTTACAAGCAAATCTAGCTTTTAAAGGTTTTCGTTACAAAATTGTTTAATAGATCAGTTAAATTTTTATGTTTTTACTTCCTTGTAAAAACATAAAAATAAAGTAGTAAATAAAAAATAAAAAGGAAGTATTGTATTCGCGAAAAGTTTCAGGCAGCATATTTCAACGAAAATATCCATTTTAACCGCTTTCGAATGCAATTTAACGGTATATTTGCGTGATATATGTACGTAAGAACAGAATAAAAGACTCTTTTTCTCCAAAAAAAATTATAAAACAGCTTTAAAATGAATAGTAAATAATGAATAGCTTTAAAATGAATGTAGATGTGCACCTCGTATTTTGGTTGCAATCGGCCGCGCCAAACGTATATAAATATATTTATATATATATATATCCGCTCTGTTACCCGCCTCAGTGATCTCAGTTTCTTTACTCTTATATGTTTGCAAATTCTACATTTTTTGCTTTAAAAATGATTGAATTATGTTGTTTTTATCTTCCGGTTAAGGATTTTATTCCTTTAGTAAATCTGTGTGCAATATGTTTAGAATAATTAACAATTTTAAAGTTGTTTAAGTGCCGCTAAGCCTTATAATTTTTTTGATGGCGGCCATTGCTTGTTTACATTTGAAACAGCAGAGTAGTGGATTTGTTGTCAATCTAGAGAAACGTAGCTTCGCAACAACAAAGATAACGCCTTCATTTATTATTGCGAATTAAATCATGCTTAATCCTTTCTGGAATTTTTTCGAGGAAATAAGTGCTTAAGATTTACTTCGTAATTTTTAATACAGATATTTTGAGTTTTTATGCATTTTTGCCTTGTCGCGAAGTGAAAACTAAATATATTGAATGAAAAATACTCAATCGTCTGTGAAAAACTGTTTCTTTTTTGTTTTGTTTGCTTAATTTCTTTTATACATCGTTCTAGCTTTATTATAGTATTTGAATAGAACATGTGGCAACGATTAGATAATTCTTTAAATGATATAAATTTTGTGTATTCTGAGTTATAATATGAACGAAATATAATACTGGTAAGTGAACCAAGTGCCAGAGTGTCGCTATGGTAAACAAATAAAGTGAAGTTTAAAGAATGCATTTATTCTATTGCGGTTTATGCGCTACCGATGAAGTAGGCTTAATTCAATCCAATAAGATTAAACGAAATGCAAGAAAAAATGCGTATAATTTAATATTCCGTACAAGGAAGTCATGTGGTGTACACATCAGATTTTTTAATAACATTATTAAGTTTCTTACTAACAAGGAAGGCAATAAAGTTTATACTGTTTGGGCATTGACCAGTTTTCGCTTACTAATAGCTTCGTTAAAGTAAAGGAAATGAATTAATTACTTTCTTTTGGATATTGAGTAGTTTTATTTTACCATATTTCCTACATATGTTTTATTTACGTAAGTGTCACTCCACCCGTCCGGCAGATCCGCACGAGACTCGCCGCGCTATGGCCATTCCTGGTATATAACATGTACATGAGTTTTGCCAAAAATCTTATGATTCTCTTAATACGAACACAAAACTGATAATGATCGTGTGTTTATACAAGCTTTAAAAAGACTGCTACAACAGCTTGTATTGCTGCTTAAGCCTGCTTGATAGCATTCAGAATGCTTCAAAATGTGGCTGGAGTTTCTAAACCTTGCTAACTAGATCTTTTCAAACATGCTCAATTAAATTAATATCTGTGTCAGAACACTGCTCCTTTTTCTGGATATGCTTAGTTTTCTGAGTATGCTTAGTATGCAGATGAATCGTATATCTGTGAATGAGGTATTGCATTATTGCCCATTAAGAGATATTCAACGTTCAAAGATTTTCTAAGGAGTTTCATGTATGGATTCAAACTCTGAATAATTTTGAGTATTTCAAGACCAAATTTAATGCATGTAAAAGTGACTTAAGTCCATCTCAAGCTTTGGCGGTATATCGGGAAACACTTTCGCATTATCCAACTAAGAACATTCAGATACTAGTTTGCTGCAAGCGTTTACTTTCACACTGTAGAAATCTATTTTACGTTACAGTAGAAGAATGACCTAAGAATAATATTAATTGATTATCTCAAGCATAATTTTTACATTTGGTAATGAACTGCTAATATGATACCGTTGGTGAGCGCGACTCAACCTCCTTGTTTCTTTCCACTATTACACGGAGATTGCATCATCCGAATCATGATGCAATAATGATTTCCCAAGCATTATTTTTATAGTTATTGCTTTGAATAAGCTTTGTGGATGACTTCTCTGAAGAAAGCCAAAGACAAGTCATATATTCAAGAGCATTTTAGAAACATAAAGTAATAGCAAAAAAAATTATGGTACGAGTTGGATCAGTTTCAGATGGTTATACAAACAGATATATCCTTCATTGGTTTCTTAAAAGAGTAGACATTTTGCATACGCAAAACTCTTTAGAAGATCTGTTGGTGATGAGTTTCTGTTAAGGGATGATAATTATGATTTCATTGAGCGATACCCATTCCTTGAATAT